TTCTCTGTCAGGTTAGAGAATCAGGCTTGCTGAACTCCTCCAGATACAAACTCAATAAACAACCGTTCCATCCTCCTCCTACTGTCAAGACGAGCAGGCCGCTTAAACTCCTCCAGTTCCCCTGCTCATTGGTCAACAGTGGCAAACAGTGGCTGTCCACCATTTCTGCATGGATTCCATAAGAAGACTATAAAAACATTTCCTTCAAAAATAATCGAAAGGCTACCAAAACAAACTTGTGTCCCTAGTCCCAGCAGTGAACTGAGCCTCTCAGCCCACCAAGGGCTGACACAGTGGGCTGTGGTGACCTCCTTGTCTCCCTCAGTGATCCAAGCCATTCTCCCAGCCCTCAGCTCAGCAACCACGTGTTGTCAGCAGCTCCTGTTACGTAAGCCCTCCTGCCAGACAAAAGCTCAGCCATCCCAGACACAAATCACTGACTGCCCAACGTTGGCAGCAGCGCCATTAATGTTAGCCAGTAATCCACACAGGGTCTTTCTTATATAGAATTTTTTTTTTTTGCTGGCTGGCAAGTCAAAGATTTTGGCCACCAAAAAAAAAAAAAAATTGAGGGTATGGAATATGATTTTATAAAATGTGTTTGTGTGATCTCTGCATGTCATTGACACCAGAGATGAACATCAGCTTTGCTGTAATTTCCATGCAAATTTTTTTGTAGAAAAAAAGTACTTTATGGACTCTAACCCATGCTAACAATATGGTAATGAGATTGTAAGGTACAATATCAGACTTTTTGCTGCACCACTTCAATTTATATCATTTGATAAACTCAAAGTGGCCGCTGGTTTTACTGTTCTAACTTCATATCTGTACGTTCTGACACATCTGTCATTGGTTATGTCTGTCTTATGTTGTATGTTTTTCAACTTCCTTAATAATGCTTGACTTGTGTAGCCATGTGACATTACATCAATTGCATCATAGTGGGCTCACAGGAATGGCTGATGTTACAGGCCAAGAGTAACAACAGCCAGCCTTTTGTTGATCTGTGTTGGTACATTCTGTCCACAACCCTTCACTTTTATCGCCTTTTTCACAGTTTTTCTTCTGGCTGCCAGTGCTTTGTGTTGTCAGTTGATGTGCCAATATTTGTGGCCAAACAACAGCGTTGATTAATTAAACCATCAGATTACCTTTAGGTGTTGCTGTAAAGTAAACAAACCAGAGGCTGTACATAGTACCCTGAGTTCCAGGACAGAGGCAGGATTCTGCCAAAGCCATTGGAGTCAGTGCAGGTAGAGTTGAAACCCAATAATCATTAATACAAGTCGGTACTGCTTTGATTTGCTGGAACTGATATTGCAATATTGACTTTCATATTGAGTGGACATTTTTTTAGTTCATTTTAAAACTTTAAACTCCTATGCATTGGAACTGATAGTTGTTTTTGTTTTCTGTTTGTTGCTTTAGTTTTTTGGTAGTTGATCTGCACCACACATGCCTCACTTCATATAAGACTGGCGTCACAAGTTAATATCTAATTGTCAGTGTTCAGAGTCTCGAGTCTGCAACTGCCACATTCTTGTCACTGTCAAACTAAACTACATAGAATTTCATTACATAATTACTAAAAAGGTTGAATGCAGTTTTACTTCTATTGCCATGTTCTCTACATGATGTTACTCTTTAGAGAGTGCACCAATACATGTTTTTATGTCAATGAACTTTAATTACCTAATATTAATATTCCTAAATCCCTGTCTGCTAGAACTCAACTCAACCTGCATTCAATCATCAGAACAAGGGTCAAAAAGGTCACGTGACCCATGTTGACCCTTTCAGATCACCCTCCAATGTGACAATAGCTCTGTGTCAAAAAGAAAAAAAAAACTCAGGTTCCTGATTCATTTCAAATAGACCACTGACCACACAGATGTTCACTGTTTGTCTCTCTGCAGGCCATAGCAGAAGTTGATCCTGGCTCAGATTTTGTGTTTTGCCACAGCGCAGTGCACATTATATAGACTTTTTATAGCATGTTCTATATAGGGCTGCAATTAATGACTATTTTCGTTATTGATTCATCTACTGATTAATTTCTTGATTAATTGATTAATTATTATGTCTATAAAATATGAAAATGCCAGACTCAAGCTGACATTTTTAAATGCCTTTTTTTTTTTATCCAATCAACAGTCAAAAACCAAAAGATCATGTACAAGAAAAACATTGAATCTTCACATTTGAGAAGCTGGAACCAGCAATTGTTACATTTTGCTTAAAATGTAACTCGCACTTCTCTGAGTGCAGTGCATTTTTATTGTTGCTAGGCAACCACTAAATCACATACCCTTAGCCTAACCATAATTTTGTTGTGAAGTAAAGTCACACATCTGTACATGTTATTTAAGTGTATAGGATACAGGCAGAGGACACTTGCTCTTTCTATGGCTCCTAAATAATACGCAAGATACAGGGAAATGAAATCTGATTATGAAAACAACTTACCCAAAATCTACAAGTGCGGCACTAATTTGCCCCGAGGCCTACTGTTTTCTGTTCAAATCATGGTAACTGAGGTTGGTAAAGTTGTATAGCTCCAGGTATCCAGCAGTTTCCAAGCCAATGCCCAATGCTCTCAATTCTTGGGATTGGAGAGTGGGAAAAAATGCAAATGATGCCAAGCAGTTTTCTGCTCAGGCTTCAACTTTTTTTCATTTTTCAGATTGTTCTAAGCGCTCCTGCGAAAACGCAAGGTGCCCAGGGCACAAAGGTAGCATGCAAAATACTTACTGCCTATAGAAAACAACTGGAAAAAGACGCCTCTCACTGCAAAAACTGCACCCTGTCTGATCAGGGTCTTTGAAGCATGTAAACTCTGGTGCTGCATGTTTTATTTCTTGCTGGACTGGTTCATATTACATCTTACTGGTACCTATAGCAACACGCTCACTCCACCACAGCTCCTGGTGTTTTTAAAAAAAAAAAAAGTATTTTAATGCCGTGTTGGTCAGAACACGAGCTAACCCACATCTCCAGCACCAGTCTGAATGCGGCCCAAGTCTGTTTTGATACCCTGTGGTTTTAAATGGTTAACTGGCCTCTATCTCACATCTCTTAAGTCGTGTGTATGTGATCAGTGGACCTGAACGTAACAGAATTGACAGACTGCAAGAATGTTAGGAGACCCTGCAGGGCAGACTGCTGAATGCCCGACTTTGCAGAGAACACTCTGGAAATAATCTGCTGGCTGAGAAAGGCCTTTTGTGCTGAAGTCTGTTCCTCCCCTGTGTGCCTGCGTGGCTTTTAATAATGATGGAGAAACTGAGGGCGGTAGGGAGAGCGTGTAGCGAGAGGACGATGGAGAGGTGTAAGAAGAGTAAACTCGTGACTCATCAGGCGCAGTGGAAAAGGGTTCACTGAGTCAGAGATGAGGCAGGAACATTGGGTGGTGGATGAGCCATGGGATGGATGGGAATAGATGACTGTAGGTAGATTTAAGAGAAAAAAAAAAGAAAAGTCAGCCAAAACTGCATTAGGCCGTTTCTGAAATTCAAGGCAGCATAATTACTGTATAATTTTACAATTGTGCACAGTAATTTTGCAGTTAAAATACCCATAGAGCGTTGTCATTATTTATGTATACTACATGTACAGTACTACACACTACATGTTGAAAGCTGTATGTTGGTATGAAGTAAAATTACCATACTGTAGCTGAAATTTGCTTTGAGTGTTGCAGCCCTAAGATGAAAGATGAAAATTTAATTCGCTTTTTGACCTGCATTGATCAGCGCGGTTTATCATTTACCAGATGTTTGAGATGTCTGAAATACAAAGTTTACAGTATACTATGACAGCAAAGTGTTGTGGACAAATATTACAGAACAAGGCTTGTAACTGTGGAAATGTGACTGCTAAAAAAGTGTTTGCACACTCAGAATATCTTTCCCGGTAAAACAAAGGCTTACGGGTTCAGCTTGGCCCCCAAAGTGCATCTTTTGAGCCAGGACTGCTTTGATTCATTCCTTTTGTCTGGCATTGATCGCCCTCTACATCCATTGTGTCACCAGCCCATCTATACAGACTCTGTATAGACTTTTTTTTTCTCTCCATCTTGATAATGTTTCTGAATTGATTTTGGTGCCCAGTTGAAGCAGGTCCTTTGAATGTGCCATTGAAATCTGAAGAGTAAAATTGCCTAATTAATTTCAAGTGGCCTCTTGAAAGGCATACTGGTCAGACAAATTGGACTTTAGAATATATATGATACTTAGGCCCATTAGCTTAACTGCCCCATTTGAAATATGAAATATTTCTATACTTTTATTTAAATGACATATTAACAAAAATCCCAATTTTGATGGCACAAAAACAGGCAAATATTGGCATTTGATATCAGTATGCTGATTATCACTAATTGATTTGGAGTGAAAGCAGAGCTTATCTTGGCTGTTTGGTGAACACCTCACACAAATGTCTTGCTTTCCCTTACACACGATTTCAATGGTTTCTGCCCGTGATCTGTTGCTCTCTCTTCTGAAGGTGTGATTGAAACATTCTCTGGTGTCAAGTCCATGTTCTGAAATAATAATGAGTCCTGACATAAGTGATGGATTCTGACAGCTTTTCTGAAATCATCACAGTTAATTATAGTGTTCCCAAAAACAGGATGAATGCTGAAAACCACACAGTGAAGTTGCTCACATGATATGTTGTCATTTGACTTTCATTGGGTTCCAATGAAAATTTGTGCAAATGCTTTTGTGAAACACTTTGTGTGCCACAGCTGTTGTCATGGGTGGGACAAGTGGCCACAAAGGTGTCAAGTTCAGAAGCAACCAGGCCACAACAGGCTTGCATTTGAAAAGGGGTTAAGCACGGTCATTATATCAGCCTCTCATCCAGTGTAAACATTCAAGCTCTAACGCTCCTTTGATTCCTTATAAGCTTTTTCTAATCTTTCTGGAGAATGTTTAACTTGTGATGAGTCTATACCTGTAGGTTTAATCTTCTTCCATCTGTGTTCTCTTTTTCAGGTGTGGCTGGTAGAGTAGCCAGTAGAGGATTGCTCCCCTCACCCCTTCCCTTGCTGTCCGGTCAGATTCTGCGTTTGTTTGTCTTTTTTTTTCTACCCGGAAGAAACCCGCCAACTTGTGAATTCATGATCACATGACCGTGGATATGGACGCAGTCCTGTCCGACTTTGTCCGTTCCACTGGAGCTGAACCAGGATTGGCCAGAGATCTGCTGGAGGGTGAGTTACGGAGTATTTAGTGAGAAAAGAGAGAATAAAGTAAGTATTTTCTCAGTAGTCAATGCTATCCTTGTGGTAGTATATTAATGGATATAATTGACACATTGTCCAGTGTCCATGCTGAACAATAACTCACAACGATGCAAACTTGAAGCAGTAAATGAGTAGCGATAAATTATCAAATTTATTATCAAATCAAGTTAAACTTAATGAGAAAACTTGTCAAATCAGTTAGGTCCTTACCAAATGTATTCAGTTCAGTTACACTTTGATCTGCTCAGTTTCTATCTTTAATTTGGTCTTTGTTAGTTCCAGGCCTTCTAAATTGACCACTGTCTCAGTCAGTGCTTCTGGCTTGTTATTGTTAATTAGGCTATCATACAGTAACAGAGGGAAGGTATAGCTGGAGTCAACAGGGCTCCTGTTGCCTAGCAGCAACACAAGTTGCAGATAAGAATATGGGTTAAAAATGTAACGCAATGCAGTGAACAGCAGCGAGCCAGCGAGCTGAGACGTGCTTTAAATTCTGATATTTACCCAAGCAAAGGAATGTGCCAGTGGCCTTTACATAAGATAAGACAGCCAATGGTTGCATCAACCTGTGGTAAATATTTAAACTAATTAAGGATGTGTCATTTGCTCGACATGAAAACAAGATTCAGGTTGTCACACTGGACCTGTTGGCTTAGACAGATGTTCCCTCTCTGTGTCTGAAGGCAAGAACTGGGATTTCACTGCTGCTCTCAGTGACTTTGAACAGCTTCGTCAGGTGCATGCTGGGAACCTGACGTATCCGTTCACAGAGGAGAGGACGTATCTGCCACCCGAAAAGGAGATGGCCAGGATAGGACGGCCTATACTCCACCGACAAGATGAGGTGGTGCAAGGTAAGGCCACTAGCATGCAAGATGTTTTTATGTAACACAACCCAGTTTGACTTTTATATATACACCAGTTTACGGTGCTTGGTTCAGTAAGTGATGTTAAATGAGGACACACACAGACAGACGCAGTAATAAAATCAGCTGTTTTGCTCCATCTATGGGTAAAGAAAGTAATAACTAATTTAGGTTTTCCACTTGAGCCACCTGCAGTACTTGATGGCTAACTGCTGTAACGTGGCCTCTCTTCCTATCTCCTGAATGTGTCCTGCGTTTGCTAGTTAGGATTTCTCCTCATCTTCTGTCACTGTCCTTCAGCAGCCACAGAGAAGCGCCTGTCCAGGGGTATTTCCCATGCCAGTTCAACCATTGTGTCTTTGGCCCGCTCTCACGTCTCAAGCACTGGTGGTAGCAGCAGCGAGCCACTTCTGGACACGCCCCTGTGCACTTTCCAACTACCAGACCTCACCGTGTACCAGGATGACTTCCGCGGCTTCATCGAGAGGGATCTTATTGAGCAGTCGATGATGGTGGCCTTGGAGCATGCTGGTGAGACAAACTGAATACCAGCCCACTTAGAGATTGTAGGCTTTACACTCATCACACACCCTCTCTGTGTATATAGCCACAGAGGTACTTCATGGAAATTTTTAAATACTGTCTACAACCAAACAAAACCATCCAATCAGCACCAACACTGTATATTGCCACAATACATAAACTGTAGACATACACCCCACAGACTTCCCATCATACATTCTAAGGTAGAGCGTTGCATATAATATAGCATCACTGGAAACCATCAGCATAGCACGTTCATATCACGTTTATACATGCAATTGCGAATTGAAGACATTTTGACATGTAGGAAAAGCACAGGTGCTGAAATGAGTGATGGCTGAATTTTGTAGCTGCTTCCGGTTCACTGTCGCCGTCACTCCATCAGGACTTACTGGAACACTTGAATAGAACTGAGCCATTGTTCATGTTATTGGTAACACCTATGCTTTTCCTGCTGTGGCAAGTGAAAAAATGTCTGCAGTGATAAAGGCCCATTGACTTCATCTCATGGTAAAGTCACCAATGCCAGTTACATACACCCAGTGGCCACTTTATTAGGTACACCCGTACAGTCTAATTCAGTCTGATACAACTGTTTCCATAAGGTTCATTTTTATGACACTTATAATTGAATAATTGAAATAACACATTTTCAAGACTATCAACAAAAAAGAGAAGCTTACAAACTTAAATATATGATCATCCATTTTGCGAAGTACCATATGAATTGTTTCAGTTTAATACCATGCTGTATTTGTAATGTAAACAGGTGAGTTAAGTTTTTCATATTTGCCTGCAGGACGACTGAATTGGTGGACAAAAGTAGTTCCAAACTGTCAGAGTCTGCTGCCTTTGGCAACAAGCGGAGACGGAAATTGCCTGTTACATGCAGCTTCGCTTGGTGAGTATCACAGACCTTTCAAACAAGACCCCAATACCGCGCAGGTTCACACTCCATTAGCTTTCATTAACAGAGCTTCATTGTTAGCTTAAGCACTAATTGCGTTTTACAGTGTTGCAGTGCACATTCACTTAGCCTTTGTGGCCCACTTAGGAGCCCTAGTCCAGAAAATTAATAATGTTCTAACTAATGTGCAGGCATTGTTCCAGACCTTGTAGTGCATCTCCTGTATAGTAGATGTGAAAGTAATATTCATCTACTTAACCTGTTCTCTTTAAATATTTTTAAAGCAAAAATATAGCAACAAATTCAGCTTGTCATTTACTGGTTTATAGATAATTTCTTTGATACATGTCAGTGCCACAAAAAAAAAAAAAGCCCTGAAATCACCTGCTGCTCTTTAACTAAATCTTATGTACAACTGCACTTGAAAATGATAATGTGTGTTGAATGTCCTGATTTTATTTTCAAATGCAGGTATGTGGGGCTTTCACGACCGGGACTTGATGCTGCGTAAATCCCTGTATGCACTAATGGATCACGGGTTGGAGAGAGAGGCATTGAAGCGCAGGTGGAGGTGGCAGCAGACCCAGCAGAACAAAGAGGTCTGTTATATAGACTGCACATTTCTCTAGGTCATCTTTGTAACTCTGTGATGACTGTGTGAGGGCATCGCTAGTCTAAAGCGTAGAGAATCTTGTGAGCTTTTGATTTGATGCCTTTAACCACATGGAAAAAAAATCCAGGGAGAATGAACAAGTAAAGGCCTTTGAATACCTCCTATGTCAGATGTTGCACTGCAACCTGCAGATGCTCGCACGTCTGCAATAAAGCATTTGAAATGTGAAATGCACGCACCTTACTGTTGTTGAATCTATGGCTCATGCAATACCAGCTCCTTCAAAACACAGTGGCAACAGGAAACAACACCAGAGACAACAAGACAGCACTGGGCCTCTGTAAGCTTTGCCCAATGTTGAGCAATTTCCAGTAAATATATATAATAATCCAATTCTGTAGCAGTACTGCAAGTATTTCATTTTATATTTGTAGCTTTTAATATTTTTGATCATTAGATATATGAAAAAATGCCTGTAATATCAATTAAAAGTGAGTCTTTAGCTCATTAACAATGACTGCGTCTTTAAATGTAAACATGAAGCTGCATAAACAAACAGTGGCCTCTTTATCAGGTTCACCTGTACAATCTATTTAAATTCAAACTGCAAAGTGTTATTGTGATCAGTTTGTGTTGAAATAGTTTGAAATGTAAATTTAATTATATGTTTATTACTGACGTCTTAGTTTATGATGGTGTTTTCTCTGACTACATTATATTGTGCACTGTTTACGTACATGAGGCCAGAATACTAGAAACTCCTGAATATAATGCAGTCCAGTACAACACCACCACTCACTATGACCTCAGCTGTAAAGCATTTATTTGAATTAACACTCCTATAACACCTCTACATCTATTACAATGTCAAAAAATAACATAAAAACTGAGCATTAAAGGCACAAAAGTATATATAAGTATAAAAGTTGACTTTATGGCAGAGCAGCTGAATTGGATTACATTAGATTGTACAAGTTTATACTGCAGGTTCAGCAGTATTGAGATAGTAAAACCACATCCATAGAGTTGACGTAGTCACTGTTGGTCATTTTTATTTTTGGTCTTATTCATTGTCTTAACAGTTGTTAGTCATTTCTTAACACTCTTGCAGCCTTGACAACAGGCTGGTGACCATATCAAATACAAACTGTCCTTTATAGATAATTTTGTCATTACCCTATTCTTTATCGATAACGTGTAAGCACTGGTATCTCCACCTACCATTGACACTCTTTGTTAAAACTCTAGGTGGAGACTGGCAGACTTGTGTATGCACTGTACTTTACTCTGTAGCACTCAAAAAAAAATATGATCTTTAGAACCTTTTTTTTTTATTTTATTTTATTTTCTTATCAGAACACAATGACTTTTCTCCCTACGAAAGCAAGCGCAACAGCACACTAAGTATGTCTTCTAAAGTGGTTGCACACAGCATGCAGACACCCACAGAAGGGAAGCCACACGAATGACTGCCTAATGTTCACCCATTCTTCAACAGCTAACTCTGAGGTGTCCTTAAGCAAATCATCAAAATTGTTCTAGTGGAGCTTGTTAGTGGGCAGCAGGAGAGGACTGCGGCCGTACTGGGAAACTTTCTTGTGTGAATGTACTGTAGGTAAACAAGGACATTGATAGGTAATTGGTAATGATAATGATAACATGATATAGATGAGTGTTCTGTAACTACTCTGTGAACGACACAGGGAGTTTTAAAAGCTCCAGTTAAATCTCTTTACTCAATTGTCAGTATGTAACCTTGTGGTAAGACACCGTAACGTCACTGGATGCTTTTGTGACATTTGACACTCCCTTTCTAAATGGTGTGTGTGTCCTTCCTTTCTCCCTAGTCTGGTTTGGTGTACACGGAGGAGGAGTGGCAGAAAGAGTGGAATGAACTGTTGAAGCTAGCCTCCAGTGAGCCGAGAATACACTACAGCACCAACGGCACCAACGGGTAAGGTCTGGCTCGGACAATGCAGGGACTGTTAACCCACCACATACTTAGTCACACTCATGTTTTTATTCATGAACAAACAACGGTGCTCACAATCAGAACTGAGTGGCTAGCCCTCGTTTTAGTCCATCTGCTATTTACTGTAACAAGTATGAATAATTCACTGTGTGAAATATACTGAAGTTTTAAAATCCAAACTCTCTTAAATTTTTTTTATGTTTAAAACTACTTTAAATGCAGGTGTCTCTCATTATATCAACACTTATATATATTTATAAGTCTTGTTTTTACAGCCAAAAAGTCTACAGTCTCATATGGAATCCATCAAAAAGAGAAATGAATTTTACAGTCTACTTGAAACTTTGATTATCTCTAGTTTTGCAACAGTATAAACAAGCATGTCTCTGTAAACCAAACCGTTTTTGTTGTTCAGGGCGGAGTCCTCAGATGAACCAGTTTATGAGAGTTTAGAGGAGTTTCACGTCTTTGTCCTGGCTCACGTCCTCAGAAGGCCCATAGTGGTGGTGGCTGACACCATGCTGAGGGACTCTGGAGGAGAGGGTAAATACGCCTGGAACTTCACATTGCTAATTGCTATTTGTACTGTATTTCATCAAATTTTTCATAATCTCACCATATAATCGACCGTCCTTGTATCTCAGATGGATTGGGTTTTTCATTTACAGAATTTATTTTCTATGCTGGGCAGAAAATTGAGACAGTCACAGGGAAGTATATGAAAGAAACCTTTCTGACTGAGTTGTCAGTGTTTGCTGGCTTGTTTGAGATGTCCTAATGAAGTAAACACCACCTCTCTCACGTCTCAAGCAATTTAAAAAGTATGAACTACTGCCAAACACTGTGTGGCCCATTTTTGTGCACACACATAAGTTTTCTTCACAAAAAGCCACACAGACTTTTTTCCCATGAGGAAACCAAAGCAACTGCATTAATAGTTTGATTAATGTCATAGCTTTTAATTTGCTTTGCACTGTTGAGATGCTGCAGCTATGATTTACTGATATCAGAGGTGACATCACTCTTATTATGGAATTATTGTAACACCAACAATTGGTTTAAAATTAGAAGTAGATATAAATTAACCTCCAACAAGTGAAATATTGTTTTGATTTACTGAAAGAGATGAAAGCCCATTTTTATTCTTGGCTCAAATCCTCCCGCTGTGCTTTATCGGCCTGGAAACAGACAGTGCTGAGGTCATGCTTTTCTGATGTTTAATGTCCTTTTTACTCTTCCCTAGCCTTTGCTCCCATCCCATTCGGAGGCATATACCTACCGCTGGAAGTGCCAGCTGCCAAGTGCCATCGCTCACCCCTGGTCCTGGCGTATGACCAGGCGCACTTTTCTGCCCTGGTCTCTATGGAGCAGAAGGACAGCTCCAAAGAGCAAGGTAATGCATCATTCATCTTTATTATTCTGTTATGTTATCTTTTTTTCCTTTTTGCTAGCCTCTTAGTAAACCTTTTAAAGCCATTTATCATCAATCAATTAATCATGCCTTTTTAGACTTCTACATTAATTCTTCCTTAGATTTGCTGGAAAATAAAAATCCCTATGTAATTTACAAGGTTTAGCACCAGAGTTTCCTAGTAAGCACTACGAGTCACTTTCCCACTTTACGGCTTGGTGCCTTTGCTTGATGGGTCAGTCTTTTTTAGATATTGATCTTAGTGGTTTATTTGAGAATGGTGACTAATGGCCACTGGGCTTTTGAGTATATCCCATGATCTCTGTAGCTTAGCACTAAGTAAGCAAATGACCACCTGCCTGTGTTAAAGTTGAATGATAATTCAATAGAGATGGACCCTTCATCAAGAAACGTGTTAAGTGAGAGTGAACTGGATTAAAAAACTACTACTACTATTGTAATATACTCCAGATTATCATGTTGGTCTTAATGCTGTTTCTTATGTTTTTCACCTTTTTAAAAAAAGTGAAATTTTGGAGAAACACTGAATACTTGTTCTCACGCCCAAGTTTGTGCACAAATTACAAGTCTATCCTTGAAATGCAAGAGACTGCCCCAGACATTAAATTGTCTACCAGTCTAAAAACATCAGATCGGACAATTTATAAACAACAGACCCAGCATGTTAAATCTTAAAATAAAGGTGAAAGAATTAGTAGTTGAATCAAGTCCAGTCAATTGTTATTTATATGGCTCCAAATCACAACAGAAGTTATCTCAAGGCTCTTTTCAAATACAGCAGGTCCAGACCTTACTCTTCATAATATTGATTACAGATTCCAACAGTTCACACCATGAGCAAGCACTGTATGGGCACACACTGTCCAACAATGCACTGAGGCCGTGATTGATGTTGTTTATCTGTTATTTTTGTGTGATTCCTGCAATGTCAGATCTGCTGTCTTGACCCCCCATCTTCAAAGGGGCCACAATGGAAATAAGCCTTTGGCTTTACTGTGTTACCCTGACCATTTCTTTTTTATCTATGCCTAGAAACTGTCAAATAAAATCAATCAATCAGTCAGTCAATCAGTCAATCAATATCACTTCTGTCTGTAGACAGTCCAGAGTTCTGGATTAAAAGGATTTATGTTTTTCTAAGAGTTCCTTTTTCCCCCATCTCTGCCAGCAGTTGTGATCCCTCTCACTGACTCGGAGCACAAAATGTTGCCTCTGCACTTTGCTGTGGATCCTGGGAAAGACTGGGAGTGGGGAAAGGATGATACAGACAACGTGATGCTGGCAAGGTATGGTCTTGATCTATGGTCTTGATTTTTTCAGGTTAAATGTACTCATTATTTTGTCCAAAGTATTGACACAGGGTCACAAAGAATACAGATAAAAACTAGAGTGGCACTTGCATGTGCACACTCTTATAGACAGCAAAGTGTCAGTGTGTAGGGATTGACCCCTGACTCCAGATTAGCGACACTCACTGCCAGTGACAATAAGATTAGCTCTAAATACCTTCTATGAATGGAGCAAGGGAAGAAGCGCCAAAATAGCAGCTTGGTAAAAATAATCCTCCACCTTATTTACGTCAGCTGGTGACACTGTGGATGTCTTTTTTAGATGAAATGGTGACCAGAGATGATTACATGAGTGGCTATTAACATTGTTTGGAAAAGGTCATTGAGTTAAAAGGCTATTGCAGAACAAGAATGCATAACAGCAACAGGCTTTTAGTGTACTTGCCAGTCACTGTGCCATTCAGAGCCAAATTACCAGTTGTTGAGCAGCAGTATGGAAATCTAACAGTCTTCAGTTTCATCAGCCTCCATAAAGAAGGGGACCGGCATTATGTGGTTAATCGAGTTAGCGATCTTTACCGTTATCCCAGGGAACAGTGTGGTTTATTTTATTTTGAAGTCCAAGGGGTGTATTCAGTTTAGGATTAAATTCTAAATAAATCAAATAAAGCTTTGTTATGGTTCTGTACCAGGAGAGACTTGTTTGCGAGCGAGGCTGCTAGCTCTATTGCTAGCAGTTTGGGACCGCAGACTTTGGCTTTGTGTGCACTTGGTGGGATGGTACTTGATGGTACTACTCAAATGGTGGAAATATTTGTTGTGTTTCCTGTCTTTGTTGGCACAGGTCACCTGCCTATCTTGCAGCGGATAACGCTCTGCTGTTTATCCAGCTTTAGAAATCTGAACCATTTCCAAATCACTGATTTTCTGTGACCTCTCTCTGCCACAATTTGCTCGTCTTATGCAGACATCTAAATCTCTCCACGGTTGCTCATTTCTATGTTTCCAACAATGTATGTGTTGTGTTTTTTTTTTTTCCTTTCTTTTTTTTTTTGGTTTATCATTGTTATTCGATCGATTGTTTTATCACCCAGCTGTACGACCCCAGCATTTGGATCTATTTTCTGTGGTTGCACATTTACATCACATGTAACCATGGTATCATGGTTAGAATCTAGCTCATGACTATTGTCCAATACTGTCTAACAGCCAGAATACTATTACATTTTTAATATAAAATAATACTGTCAATGACCTAATGGTCTGTGATGGTCTCGTCTCGCTGAAGTTGGACTTGTGTCTCTTTTTCCCTTTTCCTACCAGTGTGGCTCTTTCTTTGGAGGCCAAGCTCCAGATGTTACACAGCTACATGACGGTCGCCTGGCTGCCCCTGCCCTGTGAGGTAAAGATCAAGGTCCACACATTCATCCCCAGTGTTGCTCCTTTACAGCAGGGAGGTTTATAAAGCCGGCTTAGACAAGTTTTATTTCACATACTGTTTTGGCCCACAACATATGAGTGATTAAAAACTATAGTGAGTAATTTTTCAACTAACTATGAATGCTGGTGGAGTATTCTAAAGACTAATTTAGTATGTTACCAGCCGAATTGACTTAGAATAAAAAAGGAAACCCCATCTTCTATTGTGATAATCAGATTGATGCAAAAGTAGTTGGGGGACTTGTGTAACAGCCTCTTGTGATTAGTGTTAATTTCCCACACTCATTATAAACAAGGGCAAGATTTTTCTTTCTTTCTTTCTTTTCCATCAGACCAGCTGTTCCCTGGCTGCTGTACAGACCGTATGTGAAAACAAACTATACTGGGCCATTGAGGTCATAAAGTTACGCCATGCAAACAATGCGACAAAGGTCCTCTTGTGTTCTACATGCTAACATCATGGAGCTTGAAAGGACAAGTTTATAGCAGTTTCATGGTTAAGCTGCAGGGACTGGTGGCAGTACAGGAATCCCTGTATTAAAATATGATTTAAGGAGATTATTCTGTTAAGCAATGCTACCACTGGATAGCTGTGTCATGGTCATTGCTGCTTATAGACGGGCCCCCATGTAGCTGATCCTTGTTTGAGATCAGAATGCTGCGTCACTATCTAGGTCATCCCAGTGCCAAATACAGCATTCTTTATTTTACAGCGTCTTTAACGTGTCTGTAGATATGAAAAGGCCTCTGGAAACTGTGTCACTTGTGTGTTTCTGCATTGGTCTGCAAAAAACAACTCTATGAATCACTCTTTTCACATCCTCTGTCTTTTTTCCCCCATACCTGAGGGGCATGGGCCTGTACTGTGCTAAATTTGACTTTCCTTTTTTTTGTGGATTTCAGGGCTGTGAAGCTGAACTACAACTCAACTTAATTTCTTATGAATATTATATTTTCTTAGTTTTCCATTATAATTTGGTCAGCAGGTTGGGGCAGATGTACATTTTTCTCATTACACATATAAAGTATTTTTCCAGCTTGTGTTTCTGCTTTGTTTCCTTGCAGCAAGCCCCTCTGGCCCAACCCGAGTCTCCCACAGCATCGGCAGGAGAGGATGCCCGAACGCCTCCGGACTCAGGAGAGTCAGACAAGGAGTCAGTCAGCAGCAGCTCCAATGGCAACGGCGACACAACTACAGGATCAGCAGTCAATGGAGGCGGGTCCTTGGCTAAGAACAGCTCCTCTTCCTCATCTAGTTCCTCTAGCAGTGGTTCGGCAGGGACTGGAACAGCAGGGAAGGACAAAACCAAGAAGGAGAAGGACAAGGATAAAGACAAGAAGAGGGCAGACTCTGTGGCCAATAAGCTCGGCAGTTTTGGCAAGAGCCTGGGCAGCAAGCTGAAGAAAAACGTGGGTGGACTGATGACAGGAAAGAACGCTGGAACTGGAGGTGTCAAGCAGGAGGGTGGGGAGAAGAAAAAGGGCTCATTTAGGGGGAGGAAGGGCAGTAAGGATAGCTCGCCATCAGCCCACGCCTCAGAGGATTCTGGGAAAGGCTCCCCCTCCTCAGGTAGTGAGCGTCTCAATGGAACAGGAAGCAGTATGAGCAGCAGTGGTGGGAGCAGCACTGAGAGCGAGACCTACAAGTACAGTGCAGACGTCAAGGTTAGCCTGGGCATCCTGCGAGCCGCCATGCAAGGTGAGAGGAAATTCATCTTTGCCAGCCTTCTCACTACCAGCAACCGGCAGCCCTTCCAGGAGGAGATGATCCAGCGCTACTTGGCCGATGCAGAGGAGCGCTTTCGGGCCGAGCAAGAACAACAGCGTCGTGATGTTGAAAGGAAGGGCATCACTAATGGCATCCAGCCACCCAAGAAGGAGGTGGTTGGTGGTACGGAGCTGAGTTACCGGCCTTACGAGGCCAAAGAGGAGCTGTCAGAGAACTCATCACCTTCCTTCAACCAACTCAAGCCCTCTCCTTTGAGCCCCTCTATGTACTCTGGGGTAGTGCCCATTCCCCGGCCCTCCTTCATAGATCAGCCTCCTGCTGCAGCACCCCTCACCCAGCACCTTCATATGCACAGCTACATGGATAATCGGCGCCAGCTTGCTGGTGGGTCCCCAGTAACCTCCTACCCTGGCCTCCCCTCATACGCCACCCTACCCCGACACTGCCCCACAACACAGGGTCCCTCCCATCCCCAGTACAATAACCCACAAGGCCCCTCCTCCCTTAGCCCCTCTCGCCTTGCGCCCTCATACCCCCCGGAGTTCGACCCACCAGACTATCCTGGGTCTGAACCGGTTTGTGGGACCTACACCAACGGGTTCCGGGACATGCGCTCCAACCTAGATTCTCGGAGCGGGCAACCACCAGTCAGGCACTACTCGCTGGGCAGTGCCGGTGGTTTGACCAGCCTGCAGTCCAGCCGCTGTCGGACACCCAGCTGCACCTACTATGGACACCCCGAGACGGGCAACTACTGCTCCTACTGCTACCGGGAAGAGCTGAAGAAGAGGGAGACAGAACCAGCCATCCACAGGTTCTGAGTGGACCTCGCTATGGCTTGAATTTGACGAGTGGCCTTTTCAGTTTAAAAAAAAAACAAACAAAAAAAAAAAAAACGGCTGGGGCGGATCAGCCTCTGAATGGACAAGAGAAAGGCAACCAGCTCCCTCCCTTTTTTAGCTGTGTCATTTCCTGTTGAACCACGTCAGAAAGTGACAGCGTCGACACGACTGCAGAATAAACAGGGTGGTTTCTGACTGCTGGGGTCATGTATTAGACCATAGGATTAACTAACTGCACTTCTGTTACATTTTGCTGTGGCTCTTATGCAGGCATTGTGTATGAGTGCGTGTGTGCGTGTGTGCGTGCGTGCGTGCGTGTGCGCGCGTGTGTTCGTGTGTGTGTGTGTGAGTTACAGGCTCTCCTCCTTTATCAGAGTTTAACGCCTTGCTATTGTCTCCTCCTAGTGGAGAGAATGTATATGGCAGGCGCCATACAGAACACTCATCAACATACATACAGTACGTGCACACATAAACACTAAATCAGACTCACACTTCTACATACACTTGGATGCAAGCACAAACAGAAAAGGCACGAGTGTCTCCACTCCATTTGTGGTCTGTGATAATGTTTGGATTTGTTAATTAAGGGATGTTTGAGCATTTTGAAGTCACATCCCGTTAGGGTGATTTCAGTGTTATACAGATTTTACACTACTGTTACTAGATGCTTGCGTCATATGTACCTCGGGAAACAGCAGAATTAATCCTTGTCGAATGGCTTTTTCGTCAGTTCTGTTTGCATAATGCAAATTGCAACTACCGTGCAGTGCTAATGAATAAGCGTTCTGTGGGCTGCTGTGGTGCTAATGTTACAGAATGCAAACACATAGCTGTCCATGCATTTAACACAACTGCTCTGCACTGTTAGTTGTATCTTCCTGGTAAAACAAATTCTACAATTTTGTCCAATTCGTAAATCAATGAATTGAATTTTGAAGATGGCAACCCTTTGAAGGTTAAGAATAATTGGTCACATTATCACCCAGGCATTGCAGAAGAAAGACAACATAGCAACATAGGAGTATGGTAAGATACTGTTCCCAGAGTATTTCATATATTTGTTGGAATATGTCTCTTTCTTAGTTGGGTCTTCCTCTTTCTGTACAATAGATGGTGTTGAGCATTTGATTATTGTGGCCAACCCAGGCATGCAATACTACACACTACAAAGTCAAAATATCACATCCAGCACAACAGATTTTGGAGACAGCTGTCAAATGCGTAATTTAACGGTGTTGTTAAAACCCTAAACACATTTTAGGATTTCAGACAGGTGAAAGGTTTGTTGTTCTGTAGAGCAAATCAACAAATTTGTTATTTAACAAGTGATAATAAGTTGCTCCAAAGCAGTGAGGACGTGTGCCGTTCTGACTGTTGTCTCCAGTTTCTGTTTCCATGATGCAAAGTGACGCATCTACTTTTGTTGGATGTTGAAATAACTGACATTGCACTGACAAATTCTGGTAACAAGCTATGGTTCTGAAAGTCACTGTTTTGAAATGACAAACCCTCATCGCTCTGATGGTTTAGAAATGTGAAACATGTTTCATATTATCTTATGATCACACGAAAGGTTAACTAAATCATACATCCATGGTGTCCTAACTAATAGGACATCTTAATGCTTATTGGTTTGGTTGCTCACTGCAAAGTTTAAAGTTCTACTGAAAGCGGTTTCTTAATTTCTGGCGTTCGTCCCGCCAAGACATTATCTCTTTTTGCACAAATTCAAGCACTTTCCTGATGTCCGTAGATACAAAATGTTTTGCTGTTTTTGAAGTGGCCTGACTGTTCGTCCTTTGTTCATCTCTGCAGACACTGCCACCTCTGTTCATGGGAAATCAGGGGCACAGGCCTGAAGGTTCAGTTACTGTAGAGCTGCAGCATTTTGGTGCCAGTGTCACCATCTAACTAAGTTTCCTAGTTGCCTTTTTCAACATTTGTCCTTGGGGCAACACATTTCTGCGTGTCATTCTAGATGATGAACATCAAGTATCCACTGCTTGCTTCATTGCCTGCAGTTTTTACTACTACTGCCCCCCTAAAATTAGAATATTAATATTATTTGAATTTGTGTTGAAGCTATTGAAATAATTATTTTCAGTTAGGCATACAGTATCAACAAGTTGATACCAGCTGATGTTTTGTTTGAGTTGTACAAATGTTTAAATGACTACTTAAATACTTAAATTTGTTATATTTCCCCTATAATAAGCCATGATGAGGAATTCTTTTTTGGGGAGTGTGACACTAGTTTGGCATTAAGCCTATTAGAAAAGCACAATTTAGTATGCAATTCACTGCCTTGCCCAGTTGAGGGCACCCTTGATTTGTTTTTCTTTTAAACCAGTATTTGGAGCTTGTGCCCTACATCCAAACTATGAACAAAAATAACCAAAAGGTTAGGGGAGTAACTTTCAGCAGTGCTAATACACTATATTACAGTATTTTCCAACCGTTGCAGATGCTGTTTGAGGAAGGAAGGGGGCTTTTTGCTGTGCATTTAAAGTGACACTAAAGTTCTAATGAAAATAAAACACTTCAATCACACTATTTCCCAAGAAAACATTTGCTGTGTTTATGTGTGTTGACGTGTACATGCACTAGCATTTTAATTCAGACTAGACCCATCAAATGTTCCCTTACTGTGGGAAGGTGATGCCTGTTTTTAAAAATGTGTATGTGTGCATACTCTTTCCCTCCCTCCAAAGTAATAATTAGCTTACAAAACCAGTTATTTTATTCTTATCATTATTATAATTTTTTTTTTGTGATGAAACGGATGCCTCAGAAACATGTAAAACATCAGACTTTACAGGCTACAAACACTTTTTGTATTTAAGATAAAAACAATGAGAGGTTGTATAAATATGTTCCATGTTATTTTTGTAAGCCCAAAGTTTTACAGTGTTTTTAAAATGGTAAGAATGTATATTGTTGGATACTAAAACAGGTATGGATGAGAAGCTTGTAAGAGCCTGGGTTTGAGGTAGAAATGTTGACATTTTGGCTGTCGAAGGCGACTCCCAGATGGGCCTCTTGATACTCGAGGTTCTCTCACTGCAAACTAATTTCCTCAATGCTGACCTAACAAGATACCATTTGAGAATATATATTTATAGTGAGATTTTTTAATAGGTTTCCTTGTGGAATGTTTAGTTGAGACGATTTAGGATGTTCTTTCTCACATGGCTAATTGTCTAGCAGTCTGGCTTTTATTTGTTTGTTGCTTTTTTGATTTGTACATTTTGTTTCCTTTTTTTTTTTTTTTTACAGACACAAATCCATACTATGCTAAAATGCTAAAACATGACAGTGACGTTCTTGTTGACCCAGCTCATTTCCTCCAAACCAGAAGAGAAATGGCTCAGAATTAATTTTGCAACACAACTGACCCAATATATTTTTATATATTGTACAACACTGTCATTTCTGTGGAAACAGAATATTCATCATCGGTGACATTAACATGAAATACTTCGAGTTGCATGGGACTGGAACTGTTGCATGTAAATGGCAATCCATTTTACCAAATTTGTGCATTATTTTAACTTGATTTCAGTTGTCCTGGTATTTTGATCTGTTTTTATTTTTTATCATTTTAATGTTTTGTTTTGTTTTTGAGAGGAGAGTCTCCTAAGGCTGTGTGACAGTGCAATCTGGATAGAAAGAACATCAGATTTTATGTTAGGTTATTATTATTATAATTATTATTTTTTTTGCACCGTTTGAATAAATTCTCATTGTATTTCAAGAACGCTATGCTTCTTCTCTCTTTTGTGTTTCATATGGGAAAAAGCCCTTTGTTATTTACTGATTTCTAAGTCCTGATCACTGATATGAAATTAATTCCATAAAAATACAATTGAAGATATGTGTATAAAGATAGTTTGGCACGTTTTAAATTTAGTCCTTACATAGTTAAAATCTCAGCTGGAATGTGTGAAATACCTTTTGAATTAGAGCTAAAACAATTAGATGATATTAAATGAACTGACAGTTATAATTTACTCTTAATATTTTCAAGCAACATGAAGTTGCACTTCATTGTCTTAGTTTGCAAAACTGTAAGACGTGACTTTTGACATTTTTCACTTTTTTCTGACATTTTTTATTATCATTTTTTATTATTCGATATTTAGAATAATCTATAATCACAATCCTGCTTGGAAGGAGCAAGTTTATACATTTGCTTTATATTTGAAGTAAATTATTAATCTCATCTTGTTTAAACTTTGATGGTGTGAGACTTTCTTCTAACTGGACAAAGTCGCCAGAAAAAATCTGCTCTGCCAAAGTGCCCTAAAGCAAGGCACTGAATCCCTTCTAGTTCCAGGGTCACCGTTGTATACCTCTTAGCTTTCTGTGTAGGGCAAGAGAAAACAGAATTTCTTCAACTATCTGATACCTTATAAGATTATCATCATTACTACTGAAGTGGAGCTGCAGATACATGATAAACTGAAATAGATATAAATTCAATAGATAGCAGAAAAACAGAGCTTAGCCATGTATTTGATTCTTCTGTTTTATTCTATTCTGTCATTCTGTATTACCTTAACCTTGTTGCATTATACATCGTTGAATAACTCCAGCTCAGATGATGCAAGGTCCTGTGTCTGCGACTGTTTTATGTATTAGAGAAATTGGAGACCCTTATGTAATATTGAACAGTTTCCCATGTGGTAAAAAATCCAGACCTCTCTCTATTATAGTTCACAAGGACACTGTCTCCTCACCTGTTGAGCAGGACAGACGACCGCTCTGGTTTTTTCAAACTTTCCCTGTTCTCGCTGGAATGGAATTTCTTCTGAATTGGCCTACTGTGTTCGTTTGAAAGTGAGGTACTGGTGGTTTCTGTCCATGAGTTTGGATGAGTGAGAAGAGGAGCCAGTCCCCACACAAACCCGCCAAAGGATCAAAAAAAGGTACTGCTGAACAAAAACAGGCTGTAGATGGTAACTTAATAGGATTATTGTTTTTCAGGAGGGTTTTTTCAGGGTTGAAACATCAGAAGGTCAAGAGTTGAATGGTTTTATGGATGCTGGCTGCCTGACTCTGCTACTTTCTCAATTTAAACCCTCAAACACAAGTCACCTGAATAAAAGGTCATTAACTATGCTAAAGTTGTTTCCTTGGAAATGAATTCATTGTTTCCTTAGAAACAGCCTCCATCCCTAGTTAGAGGGTTAAATCTAGGAGTTAAATCAGGGTTAAAAGGTTAAAACCACCAAACAAAAAAGTTAATAAAACTGAGTCATTTTTTGTTGTTTTTTTAAAAAATAATTTTGTATCTCTTTAGGTAGCTTTGCATCTCTTTATGGTCATTTTGCTTTGTTTTGCGATTTTATGTCTGTTGTGGTCATTTCAATTAGTAGTATATATAATAGTAATATAATAGTTTTGTCTCTTTTGTCATTTCAAGTCTTTTTGGTCATTTTTTGTCTCTGTAGTTGTTTTGCTTCTGTTTGTTGACCTCTGACCTTTCAAATAAGAAATATTAAGTCACTTCATACAGGGGCTCTGGCCCAGGGACCCCCTGAACCTCTCAGGCCTCTTGCCCTGTGCCTGGTAGGCTTGTGTGGTGATCCAACCATGCTTACACATTAATGCATCAGTAACATCCCAATAATATAATAGATAATAACACATCATAATGAGTACTTAACTTTTTATACTCTAGGTTCATTTACCTGATAGATTGCAGAACCTTTAGTTGTAATGGAGTATTTTTTTCACTGGGTTACTTATTTCCACTTCTGTATAAATGCCAGTGTCGAGTGGTGGTGAGTTGGTGGGGTTCAGTGAAAGCGGGGGAAACCGGCGCCATTGCACCTTCTTCTGCTCCAACTTCTAGCGAGTAAAATAAAACTTCGTGGTGGACTTTCGCTGTCAATTTGGGAGCGTCCAGGTCATTTACTTCTTCACGGTCCAGATGTACTGGCCCTTTAAGAAGCTCCACTGCTGCACTTGGCTTTTTTTTTCCACCAGTGTGTGTTTCACTATGGCGAAGGAATAAACAAATAGAACCAAATGGGTAACAAAGCAGCAGGAACGGTGAACACATCTCTCCGTTAGTCACAAATACCCGTTAGTAATAGTCCAGTGACTGTCGCTTTCAGCAGGGTGTGCTCGCGATTTTTTTGTGTGTGGTCGGGACACGGATGCTGTCAGTGCGAATAGCGATGAAAAGAGCGAAAATAGTTCACTTGTCCACACTGAACACCTCCGTTGTAGCAGCCGGTGATACAGGCTAGCCGTTAGTGAACCCTGGACCTTTCTTCTCGTTTTAACGGTTTTTCTCGGCTAAAACATGGGAAAGGGAGAACGCTAATTCAACGACCGTTAGCTTTTAAGCTTTTAATAATACGTTTTGAAAACATTTTTCAGTCAGTGCGCTTTATTTCGCTCGTATTTTTCTATTTAAGTCGAGTTGACCCGTCGTGAAAAATGTTGACAGGATCTAAAACCACGTTCAAAGTGAGACAAATGCTCCCAGATATCAAGGTAAGGTCATAACGTTAAGTTAGCTAACTGACGCTAACTAGCTCGGCTGAGTGAAAGCCTAAAAACACTAGTTAACTTGTTCTATCCCGTTTTATAATGTCGCATGATTGTAAAAACTGAGCTACTAATTTTCATATTAGAGACCCAGTGTGGTGAAGCTTTATTATTGCAGTAGAGATAGTTTCCTTTTTGCAGCAGCCATCAGATTCTAAGTGTTTGACTAGGAAAATGCAGCTAAGCCAGTTTTCCTTTTTGTATATCTTATTGGACCCCTATTTTTTCCAGTTGAGTTATGATTTGCAAGTCAGTCGGTTGAAGGTTTGGGCTCTATATGTTCATCACACAACAGCTAAATTTGCTTTTTCAGTACTGTAACTAACTCATCAACTCTCCTCATGTGATTTAACACCAGAGGGGCCAGTAAGCAGGCAGTGTCATGATGCAGGAAACACCGGCCATCATTCACCGTGCTGTGCTATAAATGTACAACCAGGTAGTTTGCAGCCTGGCAGGATTAGAAACCTGTGGTCCCTCCTCAGAGATCCCTCTGAGAGGCTATTCAGTGTGTGAGTGTGGACTGTCTCCTGTTATTTTTGTTCACAGTTCAGGATGGCAGCTTTACAGGGGGAAACTAGGCTGCAGAGGGCTGCTGCTTCCTTCTGTCTGGACGACAGGGAGATGCATAATTACTGTGAGGGTACATAATGTCACTGTCTTTGGCGACATGCCGGAGCAAGCCAGTGACTAGGTGGTGAATCTTAATCACTTCATATGGGATTCAGTTGTTGTACACAAAGACAAATGGCACAGACGGTCATATCTAGAGAACTGCACTGAACATTTGTTGCCAGATTCAGCTCCTAATTACCAAAGCTTTTAAAGGTCATATGACGCTGCAGTGAATTGCTTTTAAATGCTGAAGGTGAAATCCCTGTGCTGCTGTATTTCAAATGATCAGAAAGATCACAAAGCAATGTGTGCACACGGTATGAGCGTGTTCAGAGTTGCCTGTTCCTTTTAGGAACAGTCTTGTGGCACTGTCTTTGTGTTGCCTGGCTTTTTGTCTGTCCCTGATTATTTTCAGCAGCCGCAGGGGGAAACAGTAACAGATGCCTCTTTACTCTGCCTCGGGCGAGGCTTGCATGTGGAGTGGGGGTGATGTGCACTGCACAACATCTGGCTGTCGCCATGGAGACAGCAATTGGGAGGTAGAGGAGTTTTGAATTTGATTACCTCAGAAATCACCTCAGCCCCTCATAGATGGAATCCCATGTGTTCAAGTATGAGAATGTGGCTGAGCCTCAGATATGGTAATGTGTAGATTATATGCACAGGCCACCCACACTCTCGTGGGCTTCACTTCCATGAGCGTGTGTTAAGGCTGCTCTAGAAAACTGAATCCAATCCTGGACTGAATTTGGACCAGATGGCTCTGGAGTTTGCGTGTATTGGTGAATCTCAATCTCTTTAATCACCGTATTTATGTGTGCCAAGCCATTTTGGATGTTATAGAATATGATGGGGCTGCAACTTGTGATTTTTTTTTACATTATTTGACGTTATTTTTATTTTACATTTTCCAATTGTTTGGGTCGTACGAACAGCGGTTCAAAATGTAAAAAGAAGAAAAGTAGCAAGTCTGTAGTTAAGAAGCTTGACCTAGGAAATGTCTTATTAAGAAAACAACAGCAGCACATAAATGCTACATAAGGATTATTATTCAGGCTTATTTTGGCTGTGTCTATCCCCTTGAGTTCACTCTATC